GCCTTGGTGTACAAAGAGCCGAAAACAGTGTCGCGAATGACAGAGCTGCTGATAGGGTGGAAACTTAGGCATGTTGCCGGATTAGGCAACACTAATGCGCTACCTAATACGCAGAAGCGGAGATGGAAGGTGAGGATGAACTTCGAATCGGACGTTTGGTGAATTGTAGTTTCAAGGACTGGGAAAATTCTGGTCCAGCAGAGGGAACTTGTACAGGATACCCTTTCCGAATTCACGATCACGAACTTTGCAACTCGATATGCATCATGTGGCAGAGCAAAAGTGCAGTGAAGCAAGGGATTCTATCTATGTCATGCCTAATTATGTTTGGAGAATCTCTTGTGAATGCGGAGGGAAGATATACCTAAGCTATCTGTGTTTGAGTTTTGAATTTGAAAGGATACCAGTTACTGCATCAATAAGTCAGGCCATTTCGATTCTTGTTTTTTGAAAGAGAATCCAATAATTACTATGGTTGCGTTGCTGTGCCGCTGTTGAATGGCGATCATGTGACACACCCTATAATCGACTACCCAGTTCAGCTATTGTTGTTCTGTAAGACCTGTCCAATAATGACAGTCACACGCTAATGAACCCCTGCTGTCGCCTATCTCAATCCTTCCAATAATAATAGAGGTGGAATGGAGGCGCAATTGTGCTCTCTGGGCCCTATTGATGGAGGCGGGATGTTCCCAGCCCCTTTATTGATGACCATTACATGAATACGACGGAATCTGCTATTGTTTCTACTTCCCTAGCCCGAGGACGGGGAGGTTGGATGCATTGCATTCCTGCTGTGTCACCACATCAATGCACACTTGGAGGCTTTTCCATTGATGGATTCAGCTATTGATTGCCATTCATTGATCATGATTGACTATCATCACCTGCAGTGTATTCATTCATTCATTATTGCGTGAAGCAACAAAAATGAGTGATTGGACTTTTTTTCCCTCTCCTTCCTCCAATGTATTTAAAGGCTTCATCGTTTTCCAGAGCTTGCTTTTCTTCTTTTCTTTTCATCGCCTTCCTATCTACTGTTTGTTTGTTGGCTGAGTTTCTGTCTTGAATAGGTTGTTGGATATCGAATCTTTAGATTTCTGAACTTGGTCATCTTATCTACCAGTCACCTGGAGGCTTGATCAATCTAGTCCTTTGATATTTTCTTTTCTGGCAACATGCTACCTCCTTCCGATTCTATTGGTCATCAGTATCGCAAACTTGCGGAGGCTCTCGCAGATGCACAACAGAACCGGTCGACTTCTTCTGTGCCTCCCCCTCCTCCGTACTCTTCTGCAGTCAAGACGTCTTCTTCTGATACGACCAATGCCGATTATGACTATGACGACGATGAGGATGTCTTTCTAGAGGAAGACACATCACCGCGTGCGCCCCCAATCACCATCAAGATCGATGCATCGATCAGTGTCGTCGGAGACAGGAACACGATCACCATTCCTGTGTCCAGACTCGTTCGCAGCGGCAGCAACAGCGATGGCAGTGGCAGTAATGACAACAACGGGTCGGCCATGCAGACACAGTGCCCCAATCGATCTCAACAATCGTCATCACCATCATCACCAACAAAATCCGGATCGGAATCCGGATCGGAATCTGGATCTGCTCGTCAGGCCACAGCCTATCTCCAACGCTTTCAGCAGCAGCGACATACCCAGCACGCCGAACTGGCCAATACGATGCTTGCCGGTCTCAACAGCGCCGGGCTTCTGACAGACCAGACCAATGGCGGTAATCAGTCCCGTCGTCGAGTGGACATCGAGATCAACTCTGGAATCCGCATCCATGGGTTAGGGAACGTGGTCTGCGCCGGTGTGCTGCCACGGTCTATGGCCAGGAATACCACCAACGCGAATACCAGCACAAACCCGGAACGGGACGTACCATCTTCTTCTCCTCCTGCTGCTCCTCCTGCATCGCTTTCGGAGACAAAGAAGGAGAGGAATCCCACTAGTTCCGGGGACCCAGCTGCTTCTCCCATGGAACCAAGCGCTCAGAGGAAAAGATCTAACTCGGTATGAATCCCATTCTTTCTTTTCATTTCTTCGCTATATTTATTATCACTAGTTTGTCTACCTCTTGCTTGCTTGCTTTCTTGTATGCATGAACAAAAAAATCCTTCCTGCTAAATTTCCTTTCATCAATGCTAACTATCATCATCACAGGAACCACTCATGCCACCCCAAACAAAGATACAGAAGACAGTCTGATGCAACAATATCCTTAAGAAAAAAGGAGAGAGAGAGAGGAGGGAGGGAGAGGGAAACAATCCCAATCTTCCCCCTACTCAATTCTGCATGTATGAGAACATGATACCATGAACACAGATGGATTAATCTCAAAACAGATAGATAGATAGCGGTTCAATGGTTGAGTTGTGTTGAGATAAACTAGGTATCTATCTAGATATGGACAGAAAAGAATAAACTTGTTATGTTATGATAATCGGAAACAGAATCAGCGTCTGATAACTGTGTTTTCATTTTCCATTTTCATTTTTTGTCAATCTTTATCTCGTCCCTGTTACTTTCACAAAGCTGGTTAAAAAAGGGGAGGGGGGGTTCCGCACTTAAGTTCCTCTGAGTTGCTTATTTGTATTTTTTTTAATCTTCCGGAACCTAATTAGTGGAATACGTCTGTTTCGACATTGGGAAAGAAAAAATCAAGCAGGCACCGACCACCCGACAAGTCAATTTTCCTCCCCCACTCAAACCTGTCTAGAATATAGATTGGTGTTAAAAGACACATCATGAAAGAGAATAACAAGCAAGCCGGGTATGCCACGACAAAGTCGAAAAACGTTGTACAAGCCGCATGTGGGAAAAATACAGGGCAAAAGCAAAGAAGAAAAGCTCCTTGAAAACAAAGACGAACGCCGCGCCACATTTTATAGCCAAGAATGACCCAGTCATACATCCATAGAAAGAAACTCCAAAATGTTGAAGAGCCAGACTGAAATATGAACTTCGCAGATTATCCGCTCGATGGGGCGGGACATAAGAGAGGTCGGGTGGGATCGTAGAAAAGCCAGCTGACATAGAGGGCAGTCTACCTGTGACCTGTGTCCTGGCAGGACAACTTCGAGAGAACCTCTGAGATAGGGTTAGGCGGAACTGCTTTCGATGAAACGAGACCACAAGAAGGATTTACCTGTTTCTTCGGTAACACTGACAAAGATTACCGCTCCGAGTTAATGAATCATAACTTAACGAACAGAAGATCATCGAACCAGAGGCATGTCGTGGCGGTGTAAGTCTTTGGACCACTCAGGAAGGACCCGGTCGCGTTCATAGAGGTAACCACAGTTGTGGCAGAGTGTCTGCAGTCTCTGTTAGCCAGAACTGTCTTCCGCAAAGATACGCGCCTAGCAAAAATCGAGTGAGGTCTTACCCTTGGGCCAGCAGGACCGTCTCTCACGGCCCAGACAGCAGTGCCCCAAACCAGACAATTGGAACATCTCCATGTTTGACGCTCCCTGAAAGTCAAAGTCAGTCTTCATCTGATCAGTAAAACAAGGTGGAATAAGGAATATATATATACCAATCACTCAGTGTTCCGCCGCCTCCCCCATAACCAGCTCCCGACCCAGTATCCGGTGTGCCGCGTCCTCCAGGGGTACCCCCTCTAGCCAGCGGACTGAGACTGCGGAAACGTCGTTTCCGCTTGCTCCTTTCACCTCTTCCCAGCGGCGTTTCACTGTCAACATCGAAATAGCCTCCGCCTGCCTGTCTGGAGGTGTCTTGCGAAATACCCGCAGTGGAAGAAAACCGGGCGGTCTCTCTTCGAAGACGCCTGATCTGTCGTTCCCGGTCTCCTTCGCGTTTTTCAATTTCCTCTTTGGACAGTGTCTCAACCTTGGGCTCCCACTCATCTCCCAGGCCTTCGGGATCGTACCGCCATCCGGCCTCGGCGCCATTTGCAGCTTGATTATCGATCTCATTCCCGAAGGACCCCACGGCGCTCACCATGCCGCCGCTTTCACAGACTTCTTTTTTCAACTTCAAAACCGCTTCATAGATTCCATGTGCTATAGCACTAACCCACTCTCCACCTAGACCCAAATCGGCGCACGTGACTCTGGCAAAGTCCTCTGCCATGCCAGGCGGATGAAGAAGGGACCATTCAAATTTGTCGGTGTATAGCTTGTTCTGAAGGTTGATGTTAAGATTGATGATGCACCGGTACGCGTCATCAGGATTGAGAATGCTGTCATTGGCAAGGGGCTCTTTGGTAACGGTGATACCATTGGCCTTGCTGGAACTATCAGGTGTTGCGGCATTCGGCGGGGGCGGGGGTCGTCGAGACGTCCCTTGAGGCGTCAGCATTTGCGTCTGTAGTCGTACTCGACCCTTGTTTCGTTTGCGTGCTTTGGAACAAGGGATGCAGTGCGACTCCCGCATACTCCTCGAGCTGCTGCCGGATCTGGGTGCTAATAGCTGCTGTCATTGCAGCCGGGTTGGGCAAGTCTAGCTCTCGAACAAAGACGGTCGCGAATTCTTCGGGCGTCGCCAATGCTTCATGAAGATTCCAAAGAAAGGTGTCCTTGATCCGATAAGCAGGCAGAGGATCTGGTTTTCGGTAGGCTGGAAGAGTTGGATTTATCCCGGGCTCCGAGGCGTTCCGGGGCAGAGGAAAAGGCTCTAATGGCTGATGCGCGGGAACTTCAAGATCGATGCGGATAGGAATGAGGGTCAAAGGTAATTGCGACTGAATTTGTAACTGCTCCGCACAGCTGCAAGAGAGATGACGTTAGACACGTTGTACTGCAGAAGGGAGAAGGCCCGGGGTCTCTGAAAACTCACGCTGGTCTGAGCATCCGTCTGATCATCCAATCTCTGAAAACCCCTTGAACTTGGACGGGAGCATGGGCTTCCTTCCCCAGTTTCTCCGACAATGGGACCTTGTCAAGGCCCTCGTCCCGTCGGCTCCTGAGGCCGGTCGGCCGGCGAGGACCCTCGCTATCATCAAAGTCATCGTCATCGAAGCCATCCTCTGCATAGTTGATCGCCGCGGTGCCGCGCTTCGTGGTCCGCGATGTCCCCGTTTGCGAAGGCGGGATCACCGGGGTGAGCAACGCGTTTCCATACTGGCGCAGTCGAGGGGGATAAGAGGTGATGTAACCTCTGACTGGGGACATGGTGGGCGCTAAGGTCACTCAAACCATGACCCTTTTGGGGCGTTGTGAAGTGTATCTCAGTTGGTGCCGGATGCGCAGGTACGGCGATGGCAGCTCTTTTGTAAGGTCCAAGCTTACCAGTCCGTCGCAGATGGCAAAACACGTCTAAGGTGCTGGGAGCGAAACGGTGGGGATCCTGGAAACTTGTGGAATCAGTCCACAGTAATTGCGACAGGGCGCGAAGAGGAGAAAAGTACGAGGGGAGCGAAAAAAAACACGGTGGGCGATCGAGAATGAGCTCGGGACGCAGCGCAGGCCGGCACGTCTGGCGCTCCTTCCTGCCTTTGATCGACTTTCTTAGAGCGAGTTCGGTCGCGTTTTCTCTTCTCAGGCACGGCGGGCAGGCAGTCGCCCTAGCCCCTTTTAGGAAGGCATGTGGCCATCGAGTCACGTGACACATGGCCTGTTGCCGCAGGTAAACAAGCTGGATAAACAGAATGGAGACGCATTATGTCGCCCAGATGGCATGTCTACGACATTTGAACTTGAAAGGAGAACTACTGGTTCATCGAGTGAGGCAGCAGAGTTAGCTAATTGATGGAGACAGAGTTCTTGGATGCTCATTTGCATCTTCTCAAACGCCTTTGCGAACACATAGTACGTATATATACGGAGTATATGCTTTGGATGTTCTTTTGTTTCAAAAGACGTAAAAAATAGGGCATGGCTGCCAGTGCTCTCGCGTGGATGATAGTAATGGTAGGGGTATGATGATCCTCAGGATGCAAACATGACAGTCCAGGCAAAGTAAAAAAAAATAAACAAATGGAAATAACAAAGAAAACAAATAGATAGTATATTTATAATAAAGAAAACTCTCCAAAACCCTCATACTCACAAGACGCCGTTCTTTGCCACCTGTAGATGCTGACCAAAGACTGTAGTGCTCGACAGAGGGGAAGGGATATCGTCAATTCAAGATGAATAGCCAAGGCAAAATAAGACCAAAAAAAAAGACATTACAGTGGGAAAGTAATGAAAGCTACACGAACATGCGCAAGAGACAAGAGACGGAAATCGCAAACACAAACGCGCTTACGAACTCTTCCGCAGGACTATCGCAGTCCAATGACGCTCTAATGGGCAGGACATATCAGTGCCAAGTCGGACTAGCAATTTACGAAGGAGACATACCATTTCTAGAGTCCAAACTCTCCGAATCCACACTTTCAACTTCCCCTGAACTCCAGGGACGTTTTCCAGCTCGACGCCTTCCCACCAACAACGCCTGGCTGGCTTCCTCCAGAACAGGAGGAGTTTCTGAGCCATTCCAACGGAAGCATTGTTTCCAATATCGCCTTTGATGTCGGTCCGGAGCCTTGCAAGTGCCAGGCTGCAAATGACGGCTTTGTTAGGTTCTGGGGCGCGGTGACCCCAGCGGTCGTCATGATTGAACCCCCTGTAGACAGTTAGCGCATGCGCAGACGAGATTCAGACTCAAAAAAAAACACTTACCCAGCCGTCAGCATCTCGATAAGATGTTGCTCGGTACTCCCCGGTTCATCACTTTTCTTGAGCCCAGAAAAAATCCCGTCCTGGCTCAACAGTATTCGCGCCGCAGCGCGTTTAATTTCGAGCATCTCTTGGTGCTCGATGTCTGGCCGGGGTGGGATGACATAAAAATCCAGGTCCTCCCGCAGGACAATAATCCCTGCCCGATCCTGCAACATCTCCCTGGTGGAGCCTTGCATCGAGTCACCGGCATCTATCTCTGGTGAACCTGATGGCGAAGGCGAGGAGGATGGGATAGACTGTGCGACGGTGCGGAAAAAATCCAACATGTACTGGAGAGAGTTGGGGTCATACTAGAACGAGGCATGTCCATAAGAATGTGTCCCAATCACCAAGAGAAGCGATTTCACCTACGTCAACTGGATAAATGTCGCCCTCGTGGAAACCACCCATGTGTCCATCGGGCAGCAGCCCGTTCGGAAAGAGGGAGAGCAACACAAATTCCGGTAACGTCAGCAGCTCATCTCGAGAAAGAGTAAATCGGGTCCCCCTGTGGAGTTCAAACCACGGTCAGAATTTGAACGCGACCACCTTGCCAGCTCATGGAGACGCTGTCATTACCTAAGATCAAGTGTGATATGTTCATCCCCGTTCGCGTCTAAAAAAATGCGACAATCAGCATCAGATCCAACGCCGCGCGAGATCAGGAGGTCCTGACATACCTCCTAAAGTGTTAATTGGCGGACCGCCACTCTGCTGAACCTGGGTAATAATGCTTGCCGCGCCTCCTGCTGCAGCCATGATGTACGTGAAGGACTCGAGTGGACTGGACCCTTCGGTGTAAGGAGGCGGCGGCTCTCGATCGTCTGACCCCTTTCCCGACGACTCGCCTTTCTTGTCTGCGTCAAGGGCGGCTTTGGTATCCGCAACAACGGACGATTCTTGCGTCGATTCTGGAGGCTCGTCTAAAGGAGGTGGCGGAGGTGCGAACGTTGGAAGCGAGAGACAGGAAGTGTCGGTCACTGCAGCCTTAGTCCGGCTGAGCTCTAGATCGGGATCGGAATAGAGCGAGGAGAAGGGCGGAGGATGAGTGGACGGGGCGTGATATGAGGAGGACGACGCCTCAGAGACAGGAGAAAGCGGCGGAGGGGCGATGTAAGACTCGTCCTCCACGGTGGGAGCGGACTGATGAGTAGGCAGCGCCGTGGCAGGCGTGCCTGGCAAATCACGCTGAATCGTCAAGGCTGTGGTCGTTCTCTTCTTGTTGTGACGGACAAGAAATCAATGTATCGGGTGTTGACTGGCGCGCAGAGAGACGATTATCGCTGGCAAACAGGCACCTGATCGGGGTGGGTATTGATATAGGGGTCTTCGATGCGGTCACGGCAGAGGATCGATCACAAGTCCGATTGCTGCGGAGACATTGAGAGCGGGTGCCTTAGTCAAGGAAGAGGGCGCGGAGGAGCTAGTCGGAGAACACAGGCAGGATACGCAGCAGCAGCAGCGCAGGAAGAAGAGAGTATACAATGCGGCGAGCAGACAAGAGATGACTAGCTGCTAAGGTGACGGAGACGGAGATGGAGATGGGGAGGGCGCTTAGAGGCGTTGCGGCACTGGGCTGGTTGTCACGGGTGGCCGCCGAGCGTCTAGAAGTTGCCTGTGTTGTTCCAGCTCGCCCACCACTAATGGGAAGGACGCGGGAGCCCGGTGCAGGCCACGCCGCTGCTGCTCGTGGGATAAGCTACGGCTCTGGGGATTGTAAGACTGTTCTTCGGCCACAGCTACAGTACAACAGACAACACCTGATGATTACTGCTATTCTTCCCATGAGCCATGGGATCGTCCCATTGCCAGCTCGATCAATAGGCACTCTGCGCCGGTGACTGGTCCAGACACTCCGGAGTCGGCACTCTGTTCCCAAGGTCCGCTGCCCCACTCCGCGGCGCCTTGGGAAATGGACCAGTGTCAAGAGATAGGTGTCTGCGTTTTTGCTAGTCAGAGTGCGCCATCGACGCAATTCGTATGGCTAGTCATCGCTACTACTACAGTACGTGTAAACAATCCCGACGTTTGGCCAACAGAGGTCGAGACACGCGTATATCTAGACGTCCCGCTCCGCAAAGCTCTGGATCATCCCCTCCAGTGTGGGCTCGTATTCCTTCAAAACCACCTGGTCGCCCTCCAGCTTCGTGTTTGCCTGGACAAACACTTTGCGAGGCACCTTCTTCTGCAGCACTACTTCCCGCACCTTGGTCCCCCACCAGTCATCCACCGATGTGACCTCGTCATAGAGCTTCGTGCCCGCGGCAACATCCGCCGTCGACTTGTAGATGTGCAGCTTCTGCAGGTACTTTTCCACCGCGGGTCGCCCGTGTGTGAGGATCTTGGACCGGTCCAGGTGGATCTCCAGATCCGACAGGTCCTCCTTGGTGTGCACCAATTTGACAAAGTCGTCACCGGCGTCGAGGAAGGCTCGAAGGATGCTGAAGCGCGCCTGCATGTGTGCTTGTCCCCATTTTCGGCTCTTCGGGTCCCAGAACTCCAGGGCAACGACTCCTGCCCGCGCCATCTGCAGGTAGGAGACGTACAAGACATCTCCGGCTTCGTTGTAAAGGTCCGTGGTGCCATCGCCGAAACCAAAGATCTTCAGGATATCAAAGTCACAACTCAAGGCCATAGCCACGCATTCGGCACGACACTCCTCATACGACGACGCGATCGACCCAAACACCGAACTCCACGTTTGGCCCGGTTTGTACCACGTGGTGATGGGCTTGTTGGTCAGAGGGCTGATAGGTGGATTCGATACGTCGAAGTTGAATTCACCCGGGGCGGTCTCCTGGAGAAGCTTGCCCGTTCCATGGCCGAGGAGCTCATGGAGTCCCACCTGCACCTCAAAAGCGGCGTCGCGATAGTCCCGATACAACTTGAGGTCCTTTTCGGCAATGAAAGGGACCGGCTCGTTCGGAGCTTTGGCACTGAGGACATTGCCAAGAGAGACATTCTTAAAGCCGAGATTCTGACGAATATCGTCGTAGTTCGGGATATTGATGCCCGCTGGGATGCCAGACCCGGCAAAGGTCAAGACCTCCAGGGAAGTAAAGTCCGGACTGAGAAATTTGTCCTTTTCAAAGTCCTTGCCCCACGGCAGCCTGGAAATGTAGCCCTCCGCTTTGGCCACTAGCTCGCTGAATGTCCTCGTACGCGCCAGATTGACCTGGGAGGTGGTCAGGGTCAATTACACTTGAAGCGCATTTCAAGCTCCAGAGCTTGTGCTCGACTTACCATGCTCACCATTCCCTCCCATTCCCCTCGTACTCCGTGCGGATCTCTGTATGTTTCAACGAAACCAAGGTTCGTTTCAACCGCCGGTTTCTGGTCCTTGACCCACAATCTCTGACTCTCCTTGAAAGCCTCAATCGATCCTGTGCTAAAAGATTTCGCATATTGCTCCAGCATCTGCTTCTGGGTGTCATTTGCAGCATTGAGTTGGGCCTGCTTGATGTTATGGGCAATCTTTGCCATCTCATTCGAATAATCTCCGAAGACCAGAGTCAACCGTTTCCCCTTGAGAATTCCATCCAGTTCCCACGAATCAGCATCTCCAAGATCTCGGTCCTGAGGAGGCGGCGAGGATACAGCGGAGGCGATTAGAAGCTCGAAATCACCGCTGGATGTCTTCCTCAGCCTTGTATTCTCCAGCGGTAACCCCTTCTTCTCCAGAAAATCGCCAACCGCCGTAATCTCGTCCTTGGTGATGGACGGTGAGTCAGGGTAGTAAGTCGTCAAGTGGCCCTTCTGTGGATAGCCCAGATGCATCAGGGCAGGGTCGCTTGTCTCATAGATCCCACCGCCTGTAGTACTTGCCTTCTCAAAGGCAGCTTGTGTTTCAGGCGTGACGGAGGCTAGCGCCTTGAACGCTTCGGGACTGATCCTCGGGATGAATTTGGAGTCACCAAATCCCTTGTAATTGCCATTGTTACCCAGGAATTGAGCTGCATACTCGAGGAAGAAGCGCAAGTCCTCCGCGCTGACTCCAGTCTTCTTGGCAAGACCTTCCCAGTCGCCATTCGATGCCTTGTAGAGGGAAATGATCAGATCGTAGATGGGCTCCGATTCGGGCGACACTTGGCGCAACGTAATCCGGGTGCCTTCAAAGGCAGCTCTGAAAAGCGATCCCTGGTATCAGCTAGGCCACTCTACATAACAGTATAGACCGTTACTTGTGATATGTATGGTACTAAGGATAACAGAGGCAATGGGATTTCTAGCACGTCTGGTGATGTCACGGGGAAAAGAAAAGGAAAAACCGAAAAAAAAAGAGCTAACCTGCTCATGAAATGCGCATATCTCTTGAGCTTCTCGTCCTTCAGAGCCTCAAAATGCGGCTTGATCTCAAGCCTGACCACCGTAGGCGGCGAATCTGCCAGATAGTGCTGTTTAGCGTTTGCATCCATGATTGCTCCACCGCCCGTAGAAGCTGCCGAGGTGTTGTGACGGGTTTGAAGAAGACTGTGGCTGTTGAGGGAGCCTGCAGAGGGGAGTCGTCTCGTGTGATTCCGGAGCTGTAGAAGTCGTTGACCAGCAGAGAAGCTGGGGTGGAGGAGGACGGGTGTCAACCGACCTCGAAGAGGGGTCATAGCTCGATCTGGGACAGCGCGGGAGGGGTAACTTAGGGATTAGGGCCCGGCTGCCAACTCAATGGATGATGCGAATTGCTGCGCGTCACTGGGGACTGACTGCCTCCTGTTGGCCGCCCCGCGTGCCAGGGAGCAGCAGCTTCGCGGGAGCTTAAGCTACGGCTGGCGTATTTTACAGCTACAGTGTATTGATATTACATACAGACATCCATTAAGCACGGCTCCCACAATAATATAGGCAGAGAAATAACTCGTCAATTTCGAACAAAACGCAGAATGGTATCTCGAGATTAAATATTCTTTGCAATCCAATCAACAGACGATGTTTGTCTCAACAGATGTGCCAAAGAGGAACTGTTGATGGTTTCAATTCATCACGCACGCGAGCCACATGATCAACGTCATTTGCAACGACGAACATGTACAGTACATGAAGTGTAAATGACGCCTCGCAACGGTGGGGCTACAATAAGCTCTCATATTTATCCAGGCCTTGTTTTTGCTGCCCTGAGGCCTGCGCCAGCATTCCATTTTGGAGAGGCGCTGAGGTTCCGCTTCCAGCCCATGGATTTGGTGCCGCCTGCATGGATGGAAACTGAGACGGCTGCGATTGCTGAGAATTGCTTGACGGAGGTGGCGGAATTGTGAATGCCGAGTAATTCGGGGCTTGACTTTGCTGCTGCGTCGTCTGGCCAAAGGAAGGTGTGGTGGAAGCTCGCATGCTTCCCAGAGTCGCCAATGAAGGAGCCGACGTAGTGCTTGTCGTGCTGGGCGGTGGACTTATTTTGGTAGACTGATTCCAAGACGGTGCTGAAGGTTGTAGAGCAGGAAACGTCTGTCCCATCGATGATTTCTGCCGGTTTGGTTCAAGAGCTGGGAAGGAGCTCATGTTCAAGTCAGGAGTAATCGAGCGAGAAGGCTGACCAGTGGCCTGATAAGTAACAGCACTCGGGATACCAGTGACACTGGATCTGTTGGCTTGGTGGGAAGGAGTCGACGACCAGGAGAAGGTGGGCGACGCGACCTGACTCGAAGGTTTCGCCGTCGGCTCCGAGCTCCAGCTGTCCCAGAGGTCGTCGTTTTTGGTATCAGATGTGCCATTTCGGCCAAGAACAAGGCGTTCGAAATCGCTTCTCGTGCCCTCCACATCAGACGCTCCCATGTTGTTGTTCGCCCCAAGAGCACCTCCGATGCTGTTGCGGGAGCCGGCAGCTTCATCTCGAGATGACAATTCCTGCAGCTTCTTGGAATGCTCCCGCTCAACTTTCGACGAGAGTGACTTGATCAGCGCCATGAACTCTTCGAATTGCTGAAGATTCAATAGCGGCCCTAGACTGAAGGTCCACAGAATAGGGAGCACCTCGAGAGCGAGAAATTCAGTGTCGGCAATCTTGCCGACTTCACGGAACACATTCAAAGCTGCCATCATCACGGCTGGCTCTCTCGTCCGAATCGCCTTTAAGAGAGGCACGAGCTTCTCCTGCACCGTATACTTGTCCAGGATGGAAGCCGTAGGTGTCTTACTGCTCTTTTTGTCCTGGACTACGCCAGACAGATCATCTTCGGGCTCTGTCTCCTTGCCTACGGAACCGCCGCATAAGACAACAAACGCTTCCAGGCCTCGAATTTTGATGGCCAGGCTGTTTGTTCGGCTAAAGGTTGATGCGATCGGAGGAAAGACTTCGTTTTTCACAGTGCTGAAGTCAAGAACGGGGAGCATCACTGGCAAGCATTTCATCGCCGCATCCACCAAGCTGTGGGTCGGAGACTCCATGCCTAGCTGAATGATAGGCAAAATATCTATGTGCCTGGTCAGAATGAAGTTCCGAATGACTTGGTTTACAGTTCAGATTGATACGAACCTTCTTTGAACTCTTTCCCAGAACAGTTATCTGCTATGGTGCTCATGTTTTCCAGAACGACCATAAGGCCAGCCTCCTTATTTGTGTCGCGTTCCTGCGCAGGTCCCTTGGTTCCGCTAGTCAGGAATATCTCCTTCAATTTTGGAATGATCTTTTCCGGGAAGATACGGCGTCCATTAGGAAGCCTCTTCAAAATCTTAAAAACGTTCTGTAGAATGAGTGCAAGGAGCTCGCGATCCTTCGTCTCCTCCAGCAAGGCTCCCAGGACCTTCCTCTCCAGAACCGATACAGGGAACTCGGGCAGTACCCGCTGTAGCCCCCGCATGAACTGGGACTTTTCATTCGGTGTTTTCGCCGGCAATGATTCTAAGAAACGGATTGTCGAGACCAAAATATTATCAAAATATGGTGATTGTTGGAACTCACGGGCGTTGAGCCGTTGAGCAGGGCGCCTAGTAATTAGTCGGGGAAGGACATGATTGAGAAGGTCTTTGGGAATGGGCCTCTTGCAGAGAAAATCGTTAGCCTGGGAGGGAGTCGTCGAGGGCGAGCTGAGCAGCTTTTTGTAGGTGGTGATGTTGGAGTGAGTCTGAAGGGGGGAAACGTGCGGAGAATTATAAAGAGCGATAATAATCAGTCCTAGCGAAAATAAATCCGCAGCAGTAGTCACATTTGAATCGAGGACGAAGTCTGGCGATGTATAATCGAGATTCAGCTGAACTGACGGAGGAAGCCTGGCATCTTGATACAAGACCTCAGAGAGAGCCAGTGGGGGAAGATTGGACTGGGTCTCTGAATTGTCCGGAGGACCAGCAAAGGCCAGGCCCGAAATCTTCCAGTCGGATTTGGCGTTGATATAGATCGCTTCCGGGTTCAGATTGCCGTGAACCAGACCGGCTGATTCATGCAGGAATTCCAACCCCTTGGCGACCTGGAGCAGCCCTTTTTGGATCTCGAGCTCATCGATCTCGACTTCCCTCCGTCTCCGGGTCCCATCCGGGCCTTCGATCATAAAGCGGCTGGATCTCGAGCCGCCTTCCTGCACATCTTTCTCGTGCAAAAGACCGGCTAGAGACGCGGTGATGGGCTCTGTCGCAAACATCAGGCCCCCGCTGCGGGTCTCCTCGACGGGTTCCAGGACCTGGAGGATTGACGGGTGTCTGAGACGCGCAAGATTGCTAGCCTCTCGCTTGAGACGTTCGACCACTTCATCATGTAATTTCTTCATTGATGAACTGGAACGGCTACCAAACCCCCCTGATCGAGGTTCCAAAGACTTTCGGTCGAAGATAAAGATGGAGGCAGGGCTGCCGGTCGATTTCTTCTTGCCATCATGTATCTTCCACGGGCCTGAGATCAGGACAGGATCTGGGGATATCTGATAATGAGACGAGATGTTGGAGCTAAAGGACTTGAGCGCAGACGCGAACATAATGAATGAATGATGAGTCTCGAAGACTCTAATGAACACGGAGCGACTTTTCTTTTTCTTTCTTTTTTTCTTCGTTTGTCTTTCTTGCTCTCTCAGGCCGCTTATTTTGAAGTCCTTATCATATTGAGGCGAGTTCCCATTAGGCACGAGAAGCGAGATTATTCATTATACAGCAGGAGTTGTCCTAGAGGTATGCAGCCAGAAACAGCATGTGTCCCTGACACCTCCATTCATCCCCGTCTGCAGTCTGTACGCTGCCTGGCTTTGCTGCGTCCGCGACACCCGTCTGATGAAGCGACCAGCTTGCGATGCCCAATTCAGCTGTCGTCCAGGTGTTATGTCACGTGACTCTGCTCGGGAAAAACATGCCGTAGGACAAGCTTACATCGACATCGGAAATCCTGCCAGTCATTTTCTTTCTCCCCTTCCTCAGGCCATTCATGTCATAATAGCACAGACCTTTTTTTTAATGCCGTGTAGAATTCAGTAGATAGCTGTCACCCAATAGCATTCTAAGATCCCAGAAGGTGCTCCGTAGGCGACAGGGACAGCCGTGGCTATCCGCGCGCACATCCGACGTCGGCCGCGATCGATGACAGTGCGGAGTTTGGCTCCCACTCCGGTAAGCTCGTATTGATCTACCCCGGTGCGCCCTGTGACGCGCGAAAAAAAGACCCAGACCATCACCAAGACAGAGCAGGTTCTCGCCACTGTCAATATCTGTATTTCCTGTTCCTTTGGGCCTTTCTGTTGGCGCTATTCATCTAACTGCAGTCTAGACTGCAATTGCGCTCTACATTCGTTTTTGCGAGGCAGGCATAGATCCCGGAGATTACTCCCACCATGCGACTATCACGTCAATTGGCGCGTAGCACCGTCCTGCGCGCAGGCAGAACTCCCGCTTCTGTGTCTCTGCAGAGTTCTGCAGCAAACCGGTTGTTGCAGAGATCGTACAGCGTCAAGCCGGAGACAAATACGGAGCTGCCCGGGCTTGACCCTTCGAAGCTGACTATCACGAGAACGACGACTCCGAAGGAGCTGATTCCTCCGGAGCAGCTGGTGTTTGGGAAAACATTCACTGGTAAGGAATTTGAGCTATGATGGGTCGGGGGTATACGCCGCGCTGACGCCTTCGTTGTCCCGTGCAGACCATATGCTCACCATTGAATGGACGGCCACCGATGGCTGGCAGGCTCCTCGCATTACTCCGTATCAGAACCTGAGCCTCGATCCGGCCACCTGTGTGTTCCACTATGCTTTTGAGTGTTTCGAGGGTATGAAGGCGTACAAGGATAAGAACGGGAGGATTCGATTGTTCAGGCCCAACAAGAATATGGAGCGTCTAAACAAGACTTCGGCGCGAATTGCGCTTCCTACGGTTGACGGGGAGGCCTTCACCAAATTGATTGCAGAATTTGTCAAGGTGGACAGCAGGTTTATTCCAGAGTAAGTAGGCACGGGCCTTCGTCCGATGGTGAAGTGATGACTGACCGAGGACGTGTCGCTGCAGGCAACGAGGATACTCGCTATACCTGCGGCCCACGATGATCGGTACCCAGAAGACGCTGGGTGTTGGGCCTCCCGGGTCTGCGCTTCTCTACGTGATTGCTAGTCCAGTGGGACCTTACTATCCTACCGGATTTAAGGCCGTGTCGTTGGAGGCCACGGACTATGCTGTTCGAGCCTGGCCTGGCGGTGTTGGTGACAAGAAACTGGGGGCGAACTATGCTCCGTGCATTGTGCCCCAGAAGCAGGCAGCGTCTCGTGGCTTCCAGCAGAACCTGTGGCTCTTTGGCGAAGAAGAATATGTCACCGAAGTCGGCACCATGAACCTCTTCATGGCGATCTTGAACAAGGAGACCGGTCAGAAGGAGCTGATTACCGCGCCTCTGGACGGGACCATCCTCGAGGGTGTGACGAGAGATTCCGTCCTGGCTCTTGCCCGGGAGAGGCTCGCGCCTGAGGGCTGGGTGATCTCTGAGCGAAAGGTGCGGATGAGCGAGCTTGCTGAGGCGTCCGCTGAGGGCCGATTGCTCGAGGTTTTTGGATCTGGCACGGCGGCGATTGTCAGCCCTGTGCGGAGCATCGGCTACAAGGGGAAGCTGCTGAACTGCGGGCTGAAGGAGAACGAGGAGGCGGGCCCGATTGCATCTCAGATGAAGAACTGGATCGAGGCGATTCAGTATGGTGATGAGGAACACGAATGGAGGTGAGTCTGATCCCGGACTTGACTTGACGGATTTTTGCTGACTGATAAAAGTTACATTGTTGAGTGAGCCTTTCGACTTTCAAAGTAGATTTTCTTAACCCTTGACCTAGCGGTGGCGGTTTCTTTTGTGATGAGGACGGTTCTAGTCTTTTTTGTTTTTGATCGAGAGCGCTCTGCTATCTATATCTCTACATATGGTAGATTTCTGAAATTCCGTTGGTATTCTGTTCTAGATTTTTTGGTCGATCAAAAAAGTTACACAGTGAACTAGACGCAAGAGATTTGGTATAATTTTTTCCCCTAGAGACCAGAACAAAAGCACTGCATCTGGCTCTGGCAGAATATGTCAGTAATCCAAACTGTAACAACCAGACAATCAATATCAAGACTTCCCAAAACTGATAACTACCACTAGAATTAACGTTGTTCTACTCAAGAAGATATAAATAACAGCAGAATCCATCTCCATTTGTCAGAGATTATGTGATCTGCTTGATAATCACCAGCTACGAGGCTTAAGTATAGTACAGAGAATCACCTCATCATTACTAATTCCCCCTTCTTCTGTCCAGGACAAACTTCTGCACGCCAGTGCAGTCTTATTGGTTGAGTTCTATGATAGAGAAATTCAATGATGGCTTTTTTTTGGGGGGGGGGGGGTACAGAGAGACTGTTAAGACGTCCGCAGCTCAGCTGATACCTATCTAGGTAGTAGGTATCTAGCCAGCTGACAGAAGACAGACAACAGACAGAAGACAGGTCTAGACACGCACGAACGAAATGCAACTCGGACTGGGCCCCTGCCCTGTACCTACTTACCTACTTACCTACCTAGGTAGGTAGCTAATTTCCATATTTTAATGGGTGGGATACAATACAATTGGACCCCCGTCATACTGGTTTGGGTGATGATTTCCCGTGTATGATCAAGGCTGGAGGGATGGAGTAAAGCAGGGTGAGACGAAAAGCGGTCTTTGTCAGAATCTGAAAGAAAAAAAATTCCCTGGTAAGCTATATACTGATATTGGATTGTGCTGACGCCGACGACTTGCGGGTCTTGACCCCGTAGTCTGTATACTCCGTACTTTTTTTCTTCACCATCGTTAGGGCTAAAGCCAGATTCGACGAGTTGGATCTGGATCTAGAACGGGCTGTGGCTGTGACTGATGTTTGTGGATGGCTGGATGACAGACAAATAGCACTATGCATTGACTGTCTCCTGCCCTATAGGGCTGCAATAATCAACAATAATAACAAGCCAGAATATAGACGAAAACGACGAGGGTCTAGCTGTCACTCTCGAGATATGAGCCTGCCTCTCTCAGCACAGTCCAGCTTTGAGACACCCAGTGTCCTTATTCTACTCCGTACTTTACTCAGTACTCCGTACCTAGGTAAGTTATTATTATTTTGGATATATAAACATACTCTTCGCCGAACAGGCGTATCCCCGTCGAGACAACAACGTGGACTCGTATTAGAACAATATGGGCTCTAGAATAGCAAAATGGATTGCTGGTCCCCCTGTGCATCTAGAGAAAGACCCAGTTCTGAAAAAGAGAAGAGTTTCGCTTCAAGGAGTTTAAGAAGCGCTGATGTGATAATGACTATTGGTAATTGCTCTTCCTCATCTGCCATTCCTAAGCGAACCGCACTTTCCACTCTGTCTACGACTATTTGATGGATATCGTCATTTTCTTAACTAACTCTTGGACAGATTTATTTCATAGACCAATACAAATCCTTACTATGCAATGATCCCAGCAGGGGGATTGGTTTATAAGGCAACCAGAATTTCTAGTTTATTAACATGGGGTCGTGGTTTAGTGGTATAATGCATCCTTAGCATGGATGAGGTCCCGGGTTCGATTCCCGGCGACTCCATATCTTTTTGCAATTTTTGTTTCATTTGTAAACAAAACAGGGTTGGGTTTTTTTAACCAATAAAATTCTGCGCCGTACTAAGAGCTTCTAGTTTAGTGGTGTAAGCATTGATGAGGCCCCGCGTTTTTCTTCGCTATTTTTTTTGGTATTAAAAAGCGGTCGCCGTCATATAGTCTATAATATTCAACGCCATTAAACAAGGTCTTGTGGTTTACACCGGAGTAGTGGTATAATGTATCATTTGCATTGGATAACATTAAAAAATACTGACGAAAAAAAAAATGGAGTCGCCGGGAATCGAACCCGGGACCTCATCCATGCTAAGGATGCATTATACCACTAAAACCACGACCCCCATTGGTTGATGGAACATAAACTTTGTAGCGAACAACGATCTCTGATTCGCTCAGGAGGCTTGCATGTAAGATTACTAGCATTAGTAATAAGCCTTACACCCGACACCCTACTCCGTACTTAGGAGGCTTAATAGGGGGTATACAAATACCTATTGTTACTACAGAATGTGAATAATTCATTGATTTCATTCTTCTCGCCTAGTAAGAGACACAAGGCAGTATCGTCCAAAGAGACTAGACTTGGGGGAAAGGAAGGAAGGACGAAGGTGCGAGGCGCCGAGGCCTCGTGGTGTACTCCGTAACATCTCAAAAGTATACTGCCAGTCAAACTCCAGACCGCCATCCACACCGCCCTGCCATCATACTGCCGGTCCAAGCCGCCTTGCCGGCGTCGTCATCGAAAATTTATATAGTAGCAAAGCCCTTGTAACGAGCCTTATACGTAAATGCTCTTGACCTTCGGTCCCTGCATGCCTGTCTTGTGAGCCTATATAAAGCCTACAGGAAAGCCTATAGGAGATGCATATAGAAGCCTATACTTGGCAGGCAGCTAGGTAGGCAGTTTTGTTGTGGTATGCTTACATAATTTGTAGGACGGGTGCTGAATAAGCGAAACTGACCAATCATATTCGCATACGGGTACTTAACGAGCAGGTCTGACCAATCACACACATTTCCACAGAAATTGTTACAAAAAATTCCTACTTCCATTTTAGGTAGTATAGAGAAAACCCCGTTTACATCGAGAAAAAAAATTGCAAAAAAGCTATGGAGTCGCCGGGAATCGAACCCGGGACCTCATCCATGCTAAGGATGCATTATACCACTAAACCACGACCCCATTGGCTGATGGGGCCGAAATTTGACAGCTTATAGCCCGGTATCCCCATTAGCTATAACCTAACTATTCCTGATATTTGCATGACGTGTTTCGAGAAGTATTTATTATTGGGATGGTACAATAAATAGCACCATGCTTAGTACTTTTTATCCGGGATATAAGTCCAGGAAGTTTTACACTTGCAGCGAATAATTATTTTTCTAGCAGTGATTAGACAGTCAACTACTTCTTTCGCACAGATATATATATATATAGTTATATATATATTTGCCAACTAGTCGCTTACAGCACAATCAAACTTACTTAAAGGCACCAGAGATGAGGGATCTATACTCACTCAGTGACATTACTCTTTCAGTTGGTCCATGTGACGAACCCAAATTCATTCCCTAGTAGATCTATCCTGAAGGTATGGAGCGGTTCAATACTAGAAGACTAGGTTAGGGGGAAAAAGAAGAAGCCAGGAGATGAGGCCCCAAGAGGGGGTCATAGGCCTGGTATTCTGCCGGTCCATTCCTTCACCGCCTACCACCCCGCTCACATGATCCCGAGTATCAGCGCCGTCACATCACCCCCCCGGTCAAAAAAGAGCCTGTCCTCAGGCGATGTCGTTGAGAATTCTGGCCTGACCAATCAGGAAGCTGCATCGC